TACTATTAGTTATCATCTAATAGCCATTCAAACAGTGATACGACAAAGTATAAGTCTTTGTTTAGTATTGATACAAATAACTGCCAATTTAAATGTATGGGGCACATAAGACAACGTTATTTAGAAAAGCCAAGGAAACTCTTAAAGTTAAAAAATAAAAACCCTAAAGGAAATTAAAAGAAACTCCAAAGGTCTCAAACTCTAGATGAGCCCACGTGGCAATGAAGAGTTAAGGTCCATGAAAGGCATGAAGCTCAACACAGATCTTGGTGAGACTGTAAATTAGAAGCTGTACCCAAGGTGGAAGAAAAAATAACCAAAACCCTAAAAGAAAGTATTCTTTGTAAAGTTGGGGTTTGGGTCCGGGGCCAGAACCAACACACACGCGTATAAGCTTCAGCTGAGAATGGCTGTGACGTGGACAAGCTGAAGGCAGCCCCAGATCCAGGCTCCCCAGATCCGGGCTCCCCAGCCAGCTTCCCTCGGGGCTGTTCTCGGTAACGTGCCACGATTGCCATGAACAGGAGGGTGAAGAAGAGGAAAGATGGTCTCTTCCGAGGTCTCCTCCAACGTGCTCGCCCCGGGAGTCTGCGACCTCCCCCAGTCCTCCTCCCTCCCTGCGTCCCACTCACCCTGGACTGTGCAGCGCACAACTGAGCTGGCCTCTCTAACTTCAGTGACAGTCACTGAATGTCTGCAATGTGCCTGGGACTGGGATATTGACTTTAAAACTTTTATTTAATAGACTCTTTGGGGTAAAGCTTAAGATTTACAGAAGAACTGAACAGACAGTACAAAAAGTTCCCATGTACCCGCCCCTGCCTCCCACCGCACGCTGTTTCCCCTATTATTAATATCACATATCAGCGTGCCACATTCGATACAATTAATAAACCGATACGGATGCGTTATTATTAACTCAACTCCAGAGTTTGTTCAGGTTTCCTTACTTTTTACCCTAATGTCCTTTTGCTGTTCCAGGATCTCGTCCAAGAAACCCTAACATTGTATTTAGCTGTCATGTCTCCTTGGGTCTCTCCTGGCTGTGAGTTTCTCAGACTTTCCTTGTTTTTGATGACCTCGACAGTTTCAGGAGTACTGCTTCAGGTATTTTATAGATTGTCTTTCAATTCGGGCTTGCCTGATATTTTTCTCAGGTTAGACAGAAATGATGAGTATTTGAGAGGAAGACGACAGAGGTGCCACTCTCGTCACATCCTAAAAGACAATCACCGTGACTAACTGTGGAAGCTGTTAACCTCATCAACGGTTTGCTGGGTTTCTCCCGCGTAAGCAGCTCCTCCCCTCCCGTCTCCACAACGAACTCATCCGACCGCAGCCATAACTGCACACAGCCCGCACCCAGGGAGAGGAGTAGTTGTGCCCTCCAAAGCTTTTTCACTAACCTTTTTAACATCATCCCCTCAAAAAGCCTATACACGTGAAAAAAACTGAGACTTAGAGAACTTGTTTAAGGTCACAGAGCTCAAATGTCCTAGGGTTAGGAATCAAACCAAAGCCATCGGAACCTTCGCTTAGAGCCCCTGTCATTGAATTGAAACACACTCAATCTCAAGGGCACAAGTCATACACTAATAGGTAAATTTCAAGCTCCACATTAATCAACCACTAGTCTTTTCCCATGCACTTCTATTTCATTCTTTAGGTTCCTGTTTCTTTAGCAGTGATTACGCTTTCTTATTAACTCAACTGACTTCCACTCCAAAGCCATGGTATTTTTCTGTTTTCTCCGTCCTAGTGAAACAAAATTATTTTTAAACTGGGTCCCAGAGACATCTATCTTTCCACTTCCCTGAACCTGCCTGAAGTACCTCCTCCAGTAACTTGGGTGTAATTAATGAAAAAAAGCACAGGACACTAATTAAAAAAAAAAAAAGAAAGAAGTAAAATGAAGATCATGTAATACAAGTAGTTCAGAGCTCAGGCTCTAGAGTCAAAGTCCTGAGATGAAATTTCAGTTCTATCACCACCACTGTGACCTTGCAAAAGTCACTTCATTTTCTTAAGCATCACTATCCTTATTTATAACCCAAGAAACCAATCTTAAAGCATTCGGGATATAAAAGAGGTTATCTATGCAGTTTTCCATGCATATCTGCAAAATGAAGGCTCTATGATTTATAGCCTAACCTACATAATTTTAAAACCAAAAGCTTAAAGATGAATTTGGAGCTTACCAAGTTCAGATTATCTTGTACCTTTGATAACAGAATGATAGGGGCTCTAGTTCAATGAAGAAGAGTAATTACTTTAAATTGTGCACTGCTTTAAATAAAATACAGGTTTCCCCAAAAATGGGATGCAGTTTGTACAATTCTTCCTTGAGACAGGTATCAAAAAAAAGTCCCCCCAAAGTCAAGGATACACTAAGCCATTACACTCCTGTACTCACCAAGACAGCTAATAACGGACTTGCTGAAAATCCCTGTCAGAGGCTCAACCACCCTTCTTTCAGAATCAGTAACAGTTGTTCATAAAGTACAGCAGCCCAGTCTACTGGGGTAATTAATCTACCATAGCACTCCAGACAAAAGCAAGAGAGAAGCAGAGAGGAAATTTCAACTGGAAAATATTTTGACGTAATTGACCCAGATGACAAACTAAACTTAACCGTATGTCAAGTGCTACAGTCTGCACAAAAACACACACAGATGCCAAAGGATACTGAGAGCCCACGCAAGCCAAGGTGAAGTTATAACTCTAAGTAGACTGTGTTTCTTTTAATCACTGTTTAGAAAAGATGCACAGAGGAAGCTAACGAGATTCTTCATAAACTCAAAGAAAGAAATGTTTAAAGTTTTTCAAGACTTCATCTTGGGAATGAAAGGTAATTACCCGTGAGAAGTGCGAGAGAGGAGGATCTCCTTTCAATATATCTAAAATACTTGTGTTTCCTAACAGGCTAGAAAATTCCTGTGTCTGTCTACTTCTTTCTGATCACTTTCAAAATATGTAAGACTTTATTTCAAAGAGCTCAAACTTAATTATAACACTGAAAACCCTTAGAAAACAAACACACGTGTTGGGACCAAAAGGCAACTTTTTCTTCACAGAAAGATAAAACTAGAAAGAATATGAATTTCCCATTTCTTTGACTTCATCTCCTCCTACGTAAGCTAAATGGCAAAGCTACTTTAAGTCTTCTCGCAAGCATTAATCAGACTAAGATGAAAGGACCGATGAAAATGCAAAGAAAAGCAAATTATTTTTTCATGTTCCCAGCTTTTGAAAAATTTTAAACACAGGAAAGTTGGAAGAATAGTAAAATGAACACCCATTGTTCATTAAGAAAATCCTCCACCCGAATTCAAAAATACTGCGAAACTACACTAAATTCTACACTAAAAAAAAAAAAAAACCCACATTAAATAAAAATTAGTAAGAGACGTAATAATCTCTAAGCAAGTATAAACTCAATGTAAGAAAATTTCTTAACATCACTTTTGTGTGCATGACCTAAAAGAGTTGAAAACTTAATTAAAAACTCAAATAAGTTAACACACGGTTGGTTATTCTACATGAGCAGTGTCCAAGATAAACCTTTCAAAGAGCCTTTTCTAAAAAATCATTTTCTCACAGCGAAGACAAAAGTGAAACTTTCTAAAGTTATAAAGGTTTCATATTCAAAATGGTAATAAATATATTTCTAAGTAATCCGAGGACAGGCCAGAAAGCAGTCCTGGTAGCATCTGGAACTACTGTCTTAGGTTACAAAAGAACGAGGTGCTAGGTTGTAGGAAAATATATGTGCACTTCCCTGAGATCCAAATGTGAATGACTGCGAGCTAAGTCCTTATCAAAGACAGTTCAGATTTCCGGTAGACAGAAGAAATTCAAAGACTCTCATATGCAATTGCGGAGTTATACAATGAGGTAGCACAGAAAAACGGGGTAAAAAGAGTGAAAAATACCAGTAAAATGGCCATGTCCGTTACCACGCAGCAAAGAGAGATCAAGATGTCTCTGGAAATTTCCAAATCGTTCCATTACTCCAATCTTTAAAACTGTGGTTGTGATTCAACATAACTTATCATAGCAAGCATGCCCCCCTCCCAAAATCTTCACTATCCAACATCTCCCACAAGATAATCAAAAATGCACAAACAGAAGTGACTGAAGACACGGATGCCTAAAAAGTAAACATCTAATACCACTCCACGAACATTTTAAGTAAAAAATTGCCTCTGCTCTGAAATGTTTTATGCTTTCAAACTGTCAAGGATTTCAATGCTCTAAGATAGCATTTTCAATGCTCTAAGATTTTGTTAGTAAAAAGAAAAGTCTGTGGTAATGTCAAAACAGATAGATAATCGCATTCCTTTTCTGAAATGAATTTGATATTTAACATATTTAAATCTATATTTTTGTGGTAAAGTCCACAGAAATGGATTTAAGGTTTTATGTATGTGAACTTAGTAACTAGATATATAATCATATTCCATAAAAATAACAAAATTAATATCTGGTCCTAAGGTAAATAAATGTAAAACTACATATCAATTAAGATGATCCCAAGTAATAAGACAGGGTAGTGGACAAATAAAATGTGTGTGCTTCAAGATATAAACAATTGTACATATATTCTCTGGCTGAAAAAGAGTTTTTAAGGAATTCGGTTTTACTATAAAGTATCTGATTTCTTTGAAAGTTCTATGTATGTAAATATTAAATTCACAATCATATTTATAATTAAGTCTTGGTTAAGCAAAAGTGATGAGTACAATTTAAAAATATAGACTCTAAAGAAGACTGGTTTCTGTCAAGAAACTAAAGAAAGCAGTCTTTTACTCTCCACCCCGACTTGCTGATGACACACACTAAGTCACCTATTGCTCATCTCTGCATTTCCTTTCACCATCAACCTCAAAGAAAAATCAGCTTCTGCATAAGATGATTTTCATGGTCCCCTGAGTGCAGGAATCAGAGGCCAGGTGTCTGGGGCGCTGAAAGGGAGGAGCAGTTGAAACGTGACACTGTACCTTTATGGCTAGGAAATTCAGCCCGCTCTCGGTGGCGAGAGCCTTGGCGATCATGGTTTTCGAGCAGCCAGGAGGCCCGTACAGAAGAACTCCTTTGGGTGGCTGAACACCCATTCGAGTGAAAGATTCGGGATGTTTCAAGGGCCATTCCACAGCCTGTTTCAATTTCAGTTTGATATTTTCCAGGCCTCCTATATCTGACCAGGATACCTGCAAAACAGAACATTTTCAAAATGTAAGTTTGTTCAGACAAACAGAGGACTTAAAAAAAAAAAATCCACAAACGAAGTGCAAGAGAGAGAGCAGAACCATTTACAAAATCAAGAAGATCCTAAAGAGAAATTAAGAAGTAAATCAGGAGTATGTAAAATGTGAGCTACGTATCACAGAAATACTAAAAAAGACTAAGGAAATATTTCTGCTTGCAAGTCTCATGTAAACAATAGTTTAAATGACTGAACGCACTGTTAAGTCTACCTTCTGTTCTAGGTGGCTTTAAAAATTAGGTTTCATCTGTCCAAAAATGGTTTGAATCAGCGATCCAAGGTCTCATCTATATATCTCATCTCTCATATTTCTTTTTTAGCAAAATTACTTCCAAATATATTTCTGTACGTCCTTATGTAACATATCTTTTCTGTCTTTGGCATACTAATGAAGTATTCTCAAAATTCTGTTCCTTTTCCTCAACTAAGAAATATCCCCAAAAGATAGTTCTGATTACTTAACAAATACACATTAGGAGCTGTGCACCAGATAATGTGCATAAGAAAGAGTAGAATGAGACATAAGTACAGACTTTAAAGAACAGCCGTGAGTGACAGGCACATATCACTCAGGACAATGGATCACCACAGGATACTTACTAAGCACAGTGAGGAAGAAACAGAGGGGGCCTTCCGGGGTTCCCAGGAACGGAAGGTCCTGCCAGCCGCAAGGCAGCCCCTGACCCATGGATGAGATCCAGAAACGTGAAA